GGATGGATGGATGGATGGATGGATGGATGGATGGATGGATGGATGGAAGGATAGATGGATAGATGTTGATGCCCTCCAAAGAATCAGGGAAGTTGGTGAGAGGAAGAGGGTTTTCAGTTGCATATCAGAAATTCTCTTACACAATAAAAACCCATTTTTATTTGAGTGGAGGTTATTTTCCCTTTTATCATTAAGCAGTTGGGGGCACGCTTGCTATGTCTTTGGCCTCTGCATATACCACCATTGGTCCCTTCAGGGGATGAAGACGCAGTTCTCTTCTTCAGGAAGACAGACCTTGTATTCTGGTGACAGACTGGATTTGGAGGCCTGGAGGACCTGGGTCTGTACACCAGCTCAGCCACTTAATGGCCTTGTGGCTTCGGGCACCTTCAGGCCTTAGTTTCCTCATCTATAGAATAAAAGGGTTGAATCAGACAACCTCCCAGGTCCCTTGCTGATCTCAATAATTCATCGGACTAGAAGAGTTGGAGATTTTTATGACTAGAGGAGGATTCTAGGGGTCTCTGTTGTGTTCTTACAGTGATGGAAACAGAACTTATGGAGGTACTTCATTGTGAAATCCCCTTTTCCCCCACAGAAGGAGGCTTCCTAAACATCCCCTTTGTGATGTCTTCTAGTATGGAAACCTTACAGTGTTGGGATAGTTCACCTTAAGTCCTTCCTAGTGCATTTCAGACACAGCCGCTTATTATCACAGCCCTTATCGTAAGAACTCTTTGTTAAGTCCATTCTTTAAAATCAAGTGGACCTATGTTCCATGGAACTTGGTTGGGGAGGGGAAGGGCTCATTAAAATGGAATTTGGGTTATAGATTGTGTGTCCTCGCTTAGAAATGGATGGCATCCTGGGGTATCTTTAAAACTATCTTAAGGAGAGTATGTTAAATGTTGGGCACCATCCTCTCCAAGCTCGGGCAGCTGGGGAAGGGGCATCTCTCAGTCACAAAATGGCCATGAAGCATCTGCATCGTGTCCCTTTGCCTTTCTAATATCACCAGATGTTAGGGGAAGGGTTGCCATGGGTTGCCTTGGACAAGAGGATGCTTCAACCCTGCAAGGTGATCTTTGAACTTCTTCGGTGGGGAGCAGTGTTGCTGCCTGGGGTGCAGTGGTATTCTGCCACCTTCCCCCCAGACCTAATTTTAAAAGCTCCAGATGCCAGAATGCTTTGAGTGACAGAAGCGTGGCTCTTCAGTTCACCCCACCCTCCCAAAGGCTGGGAAGAATGGGAGAGAAGGCTGTCTTTGAAATTTATGTACTGGATATTTCATTCCTTGGCATGTTGAATCCTTTAGGCAATTTGAGAAATTTGGCCACCAGGTGAATTTGGTCTTTCTGTAGCCTTCTTTGCCGGGAGTGGGTGGAGTTATTTATAAACACATCCGTCCTGAACTCGCCTTACTTCATCGGCACTCCCACCCCACCCCACATACAATTGTTGTTGTTGCTGGTTGTCTTTTATGTTTTTTTTTTTTTGTTTTTTTTTTAAGGCGTGAGAAGAGGAGATCATGGTAGCAATATCACAGCAGGGTCGTTTCAGAACAAAAACAAAAAACCATGCATATGTCTCCAAACCGAAGTTCAGACTTAGCTACAGTCCCCCAAATTTCTAATTTGTATCTTTAATTTTAAAGCTTTGCTCGTGGAACAAACGTCATTTGGGGCATGACCGGGGTCATGGGGTGAATTTTAACTTCGAGTAAGAACGGATGCCTTTGACTTGAGAATCAGGTGATGCCCAATTTCAGCCCTTCTAGGTTTAATCATATGCCCACTATACTGCTTTGGGCCTCATTTTCCTTCCCTGTAAAATGAAGCGATTGGAATTATGCTTTATGCAAGAAAAAGAGTTCCGGATTTGAGCTCAGAAGGTCTGAGTTCAAATCCATTTACTGCCTGCTTTTTTGGGTAACCTCGCAGAAGTCAATTAATCTCCCCCAGATTTCTTTCTTTCGCTCATAAAATGAATTGCAGCTGCGTCCATAGTGTAGTGGAAAGAATACTGCATTTGGAATCAGAAGATGTGGGTTCAAATCCTATCTCTGTCACTTACAACCTGACTTTGTGCAAATCAATCTCTTCAGCTCTCTGGGTCTCCCTGTCCTCACAGAGTAAAAAGCATTGCACGGTCCATGCAGCGTTCTTCCCCTGTGGCGATTAGCACCCTGCCTGGCACACAGGAGGTGCTTAATAAATGCTTATTCATGGATTGACATTTCCTCTCCCTCTCCTCTCCAGCTTTACGACCGGCTGGTAAGACGCTGACCCTGGGTCAGAATTCTGCAGCATCCCCTGCTTCCTGCGGCCCCGGAGGCATCTCGGAATGAATGAATACGCGCAGTGTGCGTTTTCATCCCAGAGGGACTCCAAGGGGACTGTCAGATGCCTAGAAGGACCGAAAAAAAGGGAGAGATTGTGCGTGGAGACCCCATTTTACAATTGTATGGGGACTGCGGCTACCTCTCTTCTTAGGGAGTGGGGAAATTCTTAAGTTGCAAGGAATTTAGCCGACAGAGGGGCGCACGCAGGGGGGAGGGAAGAGAGAGAGAAAGAAGAAGAAAAACACATATGAAAGACAAAAAAAAAAATCAAATAAAAAGGGAGAGGCTTGTCTTTGCCCAAACATTAGCCAGAGGCAGCTTTTTCGCGGTTTCCCTTTCCATAAAAAAAAAAAGAAAGAAAAGAAGAGAAAAGCAAGCTGGCAAGGCGGCAGGGTGGCAGGGGGTGGAGAAAGGACAGTAGTTGTTGCCTTGTTTTTGAAGGTGAGGGGTGGGCAGGAGCCCCAGATCCCGCCCGTGGCAGCCTGCAGCCCGGCTGGCTGCTTTTGCAAGGCTGCAGGGCGATTTTAAGCTGTGTGAGAATCCTGGGAGTTGGTGATGTCAGACTAGTTGGGTCATTTGAAGGTTAGCAGCCTGGGAAGGGTTCATAGAAAGTTCACTCGCATATATTAGGCAATCCAATCTTTCATTCTGGGTGACACAAGGAGTAGGAAGTGAGCTGTTCAGAAGCAGAAGGATCTATTCTTTGCAGAAGGGGGGGACCCGAGGTTCCCCCATCCGAGGCGCTGGAGGACCGGGACTCCGGGGACCGGGACCGCCTGGTCCAGAGCTCCGCAGGCAGCCTCCGCTGGGGAGCCTGCGTGGATCCGGGGGGGTTTCTGGGGGCGTTTCCCCGGACCTGGCCCTTGGCATTGGCCCCGATCCCCCCCGCCCCGCTGGATTGGCTGAGCAGCCTGGAAAATGGTAAATGACCATTCGGATCAATTACAGGCTTTTAGCGGTGTTGTCTGTCATAATTCATGATTCGGGTCTGGGAAAAGGACCAGCAGCCCAGCGTGCCAAGAAAGGGGCAGAGTTGGATGGAGTTGGGTGGACTTCTCCCGTGCCTCCTGCCTCTCCACCCCTAGAGGATAAAGCACTTTTGCAGACATTCAGTAGAGAGAGGGGAGAGACCATGTTTGACTGTATGGATGTTCTCGCAGTGAGCCCTGGGCAAATCCTGGACTTCTATACTGCGAGCCCGTCTTCTTGCATGCTCCAGGAGAAAGCCCTCAAAGCATGCTTCAGTGGATTGACACAATCCGAGTGGCAGCGCCGGCACACTGCTCAATGTAGGTCCCATGCTTTTCTCTGTGTGTGTGCGTGCCTGTGTGTATGTGTTTCTCCAGGTGTGTGGGTGTAAGTGCCCCCCCTCCAACACCCGGCCCCCTTTCCTCCTTGCATGCAATAAAGATGTAATTGCTAGGACAAAGGGCTGGCTTATTTAATACTGGCTGGAGGAGCGATGTGCCCTCAGCAGAGAATACCCTGAACAATGTTTTTAGTCCCCTACGCGTCCTGTGTCCCCATCCAGATATCGGGGGGGGGGGGGGGAAGAGTTTCAGATCTGTGCAGAGAGAGGGGAGGAAAAAGAGATAGGAGTTTGGGTTTGGACAGACTGACATGTTCTCTACCTGCAGTTATGAACTCAGAAGTAGATGGCCAGACAGACAGACAGACAGCGCTAAGTTTTCCAGTCTTAGAGAATGGCCCAAGAGAATGCAGAGTAATCCAAATAGCATTTGTCCCTCTCCCTGGCAAGGGGCTGGACTCTGATCTGGGAGTTCATGGAAAGCGAGCTCCCTGGGACCGTCCACCCCTCTCCTGTTTGCGTTTGCTTGGAAAAGGCAATATTTCTTAGCCCTGACCTTACTGCCAACTTTCTGATTCACTTTGTTGCTCTAAGAAGTCGCTGTTTTGCTAGAAAACTCCCGGCCACGAACACCCCTTGTGTTAGGTCATCAATTATTTCCATATCTGGAGCTTCAGGCTGGGGGGATGGAAAGGAGCTGAGATGGAGGGGGAGGAAACCCTTGTGCCTGGTAGCAAAGTTAAAAAAAAAATGCATGTATTGACTCTTTGGTTATCTGATCCTGACACTGGCAGGGCTGAAGCTCCCAGTAGCGGGCTTAGCAGTCCGGCCTGAAGCTTGAGAAATGACCAGGAGGACGGGGATCTCCCACCTCCGAGCCTCTGCCACGGGGAGCCCGCAGGATGCTTCACCCCCTGACACTGATTGAGATCGACGACTGAGCTATCTGTCATGAGGTGTTTTTTAGCACTTTCTTTGACGTTCGTTTGGAGCCTTAGCCTGGAGATCCAGATCCACATTTCCAACCTGCATTTTCAAAAGGGGTCAAAGTTTAGCTGGAAGAGGATTTAGTTGGCTCTCGGGTGGCTTTGAAAAAATATCCAAGGTTTAAACTTCCTCCTGAACTTTTCTGCCCTTGATGGTCGGGTTGGGACCTGGCCCCAGGGAATCACTGGAGTGGGATGGGTAAAACGCTGGAACCACTGCGTGCCCGCAGCTCTGCTCTTTCGTTTTCCTCCCCCCAGCCCTGGGAAGAAGGCTTTGCCACCCGCAGCCTTTGCGAGGTTGGTTTGTCCTCCTGGAGCTGCTATTTCAGAAGAAATGCATCTTTTGTGATGGGCATTCTCTCTCCCTGGGAACTACGAGCTTTGCAAGATCGCGTTCTAAACCCTGCTCCTCCCATGTCTTAGAATTGGCCTCTCATTGCCAACGAAAACCCAGTTAGCAATTCCAGGAGCCCGCCCTGGGAATCCTTGAAACTTTTTTTTTTATTAAATTTCTAAGAGCGCCCCAATGCAAAGAATTTCTCTGCTGGGGAATTTGGAGAGGGGGGATAAATCTACATATAAGACACCCTCTGGAAGTTAGGAGACCCAATAAAGCTTTTACAGAGAGTTTTTCCTGTTTTGTAATTGACCCCAAACATGCCTATTAAGTTGTAGGAGGAGGGAAAAATGCTTTGTTTGCTTTTGCCCAAGTTAAACATAGGATTTGCCTTATCTGGGGAGAGCTATTGGTAAATGTGTCATTCGCCCAGGGCCAGAAGATAAGAGGGGAGTGTTGATAACAGCAAAGTTCAGCTAATCAAAGAAGCTTGCATTAGGAAGAGTAAATAAAGAAATTGGACAAAGGGATCTCAGGAATTTCAGAGTGTCCTTCCCCTCCCCCCCCCGATTTTTTTTTTTTGTTTTTTTTTTTTTTTTTTTTTTTTTGCAAGCCATCAGATCAGCCCTCCGGGATGGTGAACCTCCCGGCTTGAGCCCCAACTTAACCTGAGTGAAAATAAAGGACCTCGAAAATATTAGCTGAGCTCTACAAATTTTCTTATCGTCCCAAGGCTCCGTCCTAACTGTTTGCAAAGCTGATAGGGCAGATAGAGCCTTAAAAAATGTTGAAGATAGCGTGCTAATAAGTGTGCCCTGGTCTCATTTGTAACCACAGTACCAATCCTATCGACGCAAGGCTTATCAGAATAACATCTGGGTTATAGTGAGTGTGAAGTAAGCGTGGCTTAACTGCAATCTCTTCCCCCTTCCCTTTTCCCTTTTGTTTTATGAATGCCCAAACCAAAGAGAAATAATATTTTTTTTTAAATGAACAGTTTGGGAGCTCTTCTGACAAAGGAAGTGCTGGGTAGAATTTTCCTGTTGTAAATCCTGGGGACAACAAGGCTAAAATTCTAAAAGCAATTTGAGGCTCAGACTGCAGTGATTCCTTTGTAGGGTGTTAGGTTTGTTTTTTTTTTCCCCTCCCAAGTTATTAAAGTCAAACTTTCAAGGATAGCACAGACCCTAAGTTAACTTGTTAGATATTTCCTTCCCTCCTTCCCCTCCCCTCCCCTCCCCTCTTTTTTTTTTTTTTTAAGACAGAAAAATGATATGCGGGACAGCTGTTGGCTCAAGGCCTCTAAATTGCCCCCGTGGAAAAATGCAAAGTCCGGCTTAGGTGGATACTATGGAAATGAAAACTCCAGGCAGACAGTGCCTTCTGAAATGCCCCGGAAGGAGGATCTTGTCCTGCCCAGTGGCAGAGTTGTCAGGTTTCTCTTCCTATGCCTTGTGGAATGGTCTTGGGGACTGATTGCCCCAGATGTTTGCTGCATTAATTCTATTGTTCAGTGTCTAGAGTGTGAATCCTGAAATCTTGTAGATTTAAGTATGATTAGCTTCAGTGAAGTCAAACTGGAACAACTTCTTGGGACATTTTCCTTGTTAGTTTCACAACCATAAAATATGAAGACAATTTTTTTAACCTGGTTAAAAAAAAAATTACTAGATTTTTTTTTTAACTTGGCATGAGAATTTTGCAACTGGAAGAGAAAGGATTGTCTATTTAAAAGACATACTAGGGGTGAGTCATAGGATAAGAAAAGACCTTTCCCCCTATAATTGTGACCTAAATTCTAAGCATTAAAAGTATCCAAACCTTGTCACTGGGAGATAGAAAATGGGGTCAAAGTACCCGAATTGGATAGTGCTCAGGCTGACAGCTAGTTTCCCTCCCAACTGCAGTTTTGAATAGAACACTTCTTAGAAAAGGCTCCACTGTTATTTTAAAGTGGGATATAATTTTCTGCTTCTCAGCAACATGAGTGTAGTAACTCATACCATCAGAAATAGGAGAAGACGAAAAGGGACTTTAGCTGAAACCTGAAAGACAGCCCAGGCAAGGGAGTGTTTAGAAACCAAGGCAGAAAGGAGAGGTTCAGCTCGATAAGCTAGTGAAGTTTTCCTTTCCTGTCGGGATTTAAGCAGGAAAAGAAAAAAGATGGAGGTTAATAAATGTAAACAGTTGCGTAAATTGATCACCCAGCAGGTTTTATTGATCTGCAGTTTTGGTAGAAAAACTGTTCCTAACTTTATTGTTTTGCATGAAGCCAATAGAAATACAGGATTCTTTTAGGAGGAAAAAAATGGGAGAAATAGAGATTTCCACTGAGATTCAGATTTCCCTTGGCACCGGACTCCTGGGTTGATTTGGAACTCCAAGATCTGATGCTTACAGAACCAGCTTATGTGGGACTCAGGTCTCCCGGCCTGTTAACAGAGATAGAAGACTTCTGATGGAAGTCTGCCTGGAATGGTCAAAACTTGGGGGTTCCATTTCTCTCCAGAAATGGACCATCCTATTCTCTTCCTAACTGGGACATTTTTCCATTTTCTTTTAAGATTTAGCGGGGCAATATCGCCATTCGTTATTCCTAGTAAATAAGGAGGCCTAAGAGGGGAGATTTGCTTTTTTATATTATATTTCCCTTCTGGGTAATCAGAATTCCTCATATTCAAGTCCTGGGGATACTGAGGAATAAGAAATAACAAATCATTGCCCTCCTTTCTTCCTTTGCCTTCCTCACCTTCCTATACTGCCACAACAAAATGATGAAGTTGAAATACCATGGGATTTGGAGACAGAGGATCTGAGTTCAGATTCTGCTTCTGCAATTATCTATGTGAGCTTGGACAAGAGGAGTCACCTGTCTGGGTTTTGGGTTCCTCGTCCGGGAAAGGAAGGCTGCTAGACCCAAGGATGTGCCCCTGATGCTTACTGTGTGACCATGGGGGATTCACTCATCCTCTCTGAGTCTAGATTTCTTTTTCTATTAAAAAAAAAAAAGGAAATATCTGGACTAAATGGCCTCCAGCATCTTTTTTAGATTCTAGATCTGTGATGCTATGAATTTGCTACCTGTATGTCCTTGAGTAAATCACTTTAGCCTCATCTTTAAAATAAGTGGGATGTCCCCCAGTTCCTGATCTGTGATTTGTGATTTCTGATCGTCCCTTAGAGCTCTGGATCTCTGATCCTATCTTCATTGCCCTTTTTCCCATTCCCATCTCCCTTCAACATTTATGGAATGTGCACTGGCTCCAGGACTTTCTGGGAAGAGCTCACAGCACAGATGTCTGTTATAGCATTCCTGCCTGACCTCCTGAAGTTTGCTTTTTTTTTTAAACTAGGTTTAAATTCAGAAGGAAGAAAGGAAGGAAAAATGGAATTTTGGATGGAGAATCTGAATTCCTAATTAGGAAATTGCTGTTATTTGTAAGGAAGTTGAATTTACTAAAAAGTGTCTATAAAACCCAGTTACAAAATGGAGAGACTGATTCAGTTTTATTAAAACCTTCTTCACCGTGTGTGTGTGTGTGTGTGTGTGTTTCTTGATGAATTTTGTGTTCATGCTAATTTACTCATGCTTAATCATCAGTGTTATACTTTAAATGTTTTACTATAAATTCATTAGCCTAGACCTCAATTAGCTGG